GCCGGGTCCCCCTGGTCGGCTGGAGACGGTCTCCAGCAGACCAGGGGCACCGGAGCAGCTTACGAACGGGGCTTTCTCGCCCCGACCTCCGGGGCGAGAAAGCCCCGTTCGTAAGTGCGGATCCGACATAAGTCGGATCCGCGTAAGTCGGGGACTGCCTGTAGTCTGAAACCTATAATTTAAATCAGTTTCTATATCAAATGAATGGAAGATAGCTATTGTGACGCCAATTTTTAAAAAGGGCTCTGGAGAAGATCCCAGCAATTTACCCAGTAAATCTGACTTCAGTACTGGCTAAACTGGATGAAACTAGAGGAAAGAACAAAATTGTCAGACATATCAATGAGTCTTCTCCAACAAATTATGATGAACATGGTTTTTGAAAAGGAAATCACATTTGATCAATTTACTTCATTTCTTTCAGGGGGTTGACACGCATGTGGGCACGGGATCCTGTGGATATAGTGTACTTAGATTTTCAGAAAGCCTTTGGAAAGATCCTTCACCAAAGGTTTTTAAGCAAAATAAGCTGTCATGGGGCAAGCGGGAAGATCGTCCCATGGTTTGGTAGTTGGTTAAAAGATAGGAAAGAAAGGGTAGGAATTAATGGTTGGTTTTCAAAATGGAGAGAGGTAAATAGTGGTATCTCCCAGGGGTCCATACTCAGACCAATCCTATTTAACATATTCATAAATGATCTGGAAAAGGGAGTAAACAATGACGTGGCAAAATTTGCAGAAAATAAACTACTTAAGACAGTTAAGTTCCAGCCAGCCTGTGAAGAGTTACAAAAGGGTCTCATAAAACTGGATTACTGGGACACAAAATGGCAGATGAAATTTAATACTGCTAAATGCAAAGCAGTGCACATTGGAAAGTATAATCCCAACTACACATATAAAATGATGGGGTCTAAATTAGTTGTTCCCTCTCAGGAAAGGGATTTTGGGATCTTTGTAGATAGTTCTCTGAAAACTTCCACCCAGTGTGGAGCAGCAGTCAGAAAAGTGAACTGAATGTTTGGAATCATTAAGAAAGGGATAGAGAAGATAGAAAATACTATATTGCCTCTGTATAAATCCATGGTACAGCCACATCTTCACTACTGCATGAATATGTGATGGCCCCATCTCAAAAAAGAAACTCTGAAATTGGAAAAGGTTCAGAAAAAGGGAGCAAAAATTACTGGGGTACTGAACAGCTTCTGTAGGAAGTTAAATTAATAAAACTGGGACTATTCATCTTGGAAAAGAGACAACTAAGGGCAGGATACAATACAGGTCTATACAATCATGACTGGTGTACAGCCAGTAGGCGTTATTTACTCCTCATAACACAATGAGGGGTCATCAAATAAATTAATAGGCAACGCTAAACAAACAAAAGGAAGCATTTCTTCACAGAACGGACAGTCAACCAATAGAACTGAGGGATAGCTCAGTGGTTTGAGCTAAACCCAGGGTTGTGACTTCAATCCTTGTGGAGGCCAGTTAGGGATTTGGGGCAAAAATTCATCAGGGGTGGTAGTTGGTCCTGCTGTGAAGGCAGGGGACTGGACTCGATGACCTTTCAAGGTTCCTTCCAGTTCTAGGAGATAGGCAATCTCCATTATTAAAATTATTAAAACTCTTTGCCAGAGGATATTAGGAAGGCCAAGATTAGAACTGGATTAAAAAAAAGACCTAGATAAATTAACGGATAGTAAATCCATCATTAGCTATCAGCCAGGAAGGGCAGGGATCATGTCCCTAGCCTCTCTGCCAGAAGCTGGGAAGGGGTGACAGGGAATGGATCACTTGATTGCTAACTGATCTGTTCACTCCCTCTGGGGCCACTGTTGGAAGACAGGACATTGTGCTAGGTGGACCTTTGGTCTGACCCAGTATAGCCATTCTTATATTCTCATTTTTTCAGTTACAGAAAGTATTTTACCTTAATTTCTTTTGTAACCATTTCTGAAAATAATAACTAATACTTTATTTTGCTCATAATGCCATCTTTTATTAATAAGCTTGATTTTTTTCTTTTAAACCAGTTCAGTGTTGTGTTGAACTGTTTGGTAATTCCAATTAAAGTAGCAAGTTGTTGAATATTGACCCTTTACAGGAACAATGGACCTTTAACATTTGAACCTTCCACGAAAGGGCTGGATAGCGCAGAATACATGTCTGAAGAAAATTCAGGTCTGGGAGTGTGGTGGGGTCACCCTGCAAGTAGTAACCAAGGCTGGTGGAAGCCAGAGTGTGAATGGGGTTGTCTGGTAGGATGCTGGGGTCAAAGCTGCTGGACCAGGGTTGCAGCTATACACAGACATGGAACCTGCATGCTTTTAGACTGTTTGCATGCACCCAAACAGGCAAGGAACAATAACAGCAAAACACTTAGGCTATGTCTACACTGGCAGGTTCTTGCGCAAGAACATCTTGCACATGGGTTCTTGTGCAAGAACTCTTGCGCAAGAACATGTCCATGCTGCCATGTGCTTTTGTGCAAGAACATCCGTGGCAGTGTGGATGCCCTCTTGAGCAAGAATGCTCTGATGGCCATTTTCTCCATAGGGCTTTCTTGCGCAAGAAACCCCTGTCGTGCGTCCACACTGCCCTCTTGCGCAAGAGAGCTTACACTTGTTAGAAAAGAGCGTAGCTCTTGCACAAGAATCCCTCTCTTACCACGCTTTACTGTAAATCTTCTTGCACAAGAGCGGGTGGGCAGTGTGGCTGCTCTGCAGAAGAACAGCCATTCTTGCGCAAGAACCCGCCAGTGTAGACATAGACTAAGAGTTACCCAAAGTTTCACGGCAGGCAGTGACAACCCCTCCCTGGTCTGGATTGCATCCTAGAATATGACAGACTGTCTTTACTATACATATGAGTGCTGCTCTTAGCAGAAAGGGTCTAAAATCCTGACTGGAAGCATTGGACATTACTGCAATAAAAATTATAATCCTGTTCCAACCTGGTTCTGACCCACTACATATGCTATCTTACACTTCCTATGAACATGTATCATTCTAATCCACTTCTTCCCCTTCTAGCTTACCCCACCTAACAATGAAGCCTGTCCTGCTCATGGCACACCATCTGGAAACACTGAAGCTTAGACTTCCCCAGATGTGACCTGTCCCATAAGGTATGGCCCAAATCCAACTTATGCCTAAAAATGGAGTGAATTTGACCCCAGTGCAGTCCTTACCCCATCTTCTTCCCCTCTTTCTTTTCTTCTGTCAGTATCATGCCCACTCTCCTCCCTTTTTGCCCACATGCCACAGAATCGCATTTATACTGGTGCTTCTGCTAGATATTAATGCTTCCACAGCAGCAATGGCCCTCCCACTCTTACATGGAGACATCCTTTCTTACACTGGCATTCTCTGCGACAGCCCAACATCCTAGAGAACACAACGGGAACTTACAGATCCTTCTGAACTCTAACGCAGAGAGAAATGTAACTAAGTCTTACATCATCCAAGAGCTTCCCTTCCACTCGCAGCTCCCAGGATGCAATGCTGCCATCAGAGTCATCAGCATCTGACTTTGCAGGGTTGAAGGTGTTGGAGATGTAAAGCCTCAATTTCCGTTTTTGCTGTTAAATAAACAAAAATAGAAAATTACAGGCAAAGGGCATATTCGGGGCATGTGGCAACCCTGGATACAGATGTATCTAAGTATTTATATGACTTCCTATCACTGTAGACTCTGAGTGCTCAGTGGAATTGCACCAGCTTATTTCAGGTCTACATTTGTTCCTGGGTATATAACAGGGATGTAAGCAACTAGATGAGTAGTCTACTATTCTACTAGTCGTTTCTTTCCCCCATTGCCACCTCTATTAGAGGGGAGAAGCAGGAGCCAATGCTGGGGGGAAGGGGGGAGAGGGAGAGAAGGAGGCAAAGGCGCAGAGGGGAACTGGGCGCAAGCCAAAACTCAGCTGTCCCAGCTTATGCCTGATCCCAGAGCCTGAACCTCTGCTGCCCAGCTCTTACTACATTTAAAAAGCAGAGCTGCAGCAGGGTTAGCTCCTGGGCTGGAAGCTAACCCTGCTGTGGCTCTGCAGTTTCCCCCCTTATCAACTAATCAAGTAAGCAATGGAAATTCCATCAACTACTTGATTAGTCAATTAAACACAATTTAACATCCTTAGTATATAACAAAACTTACGGAAATGCTGGGCCTCAAAATTCCGCTCATAAACCAAGGAAGAAAGAAGGGTACTGTGCACACCACCCAGCAGTGGAAACTATGCCCTTCTGTTTTTACAGACTTTTTGAAAACTATTTATTGTAAAAAGATTAACACAGAAGCATTAAAACAATCACATTTTGCCTCTCAGTTCCAGACTCTGTTGTTGAGTATACAAAGGGTATGTCTAGACTACATCCCTCTGTCGCCAGAGGGATGTAAATTAGACATACCAAAATTGCTAATGAAGTGGGGATTTAAATATCCCACACTTCATTAGAATAAAAACGGTCGCTGCTTTTTGCTGCCGCAGCACTTTGCCAACAACAAGCGGCAGTCTAGACGGGGGTCGATCAACAAGGAAAGCCTTTTCCAACCGATCCTGTAAACCTCGTTCCATGCTGCACATAAGGGATTAGTCGGAAAAGGCTTTCCTTGTTGATCGACCCCCGTCTAGACTGCCGCTTGTTGTTGGCAAAGTGCTGCGGCAGCAAAAAGCAGCGACCGTTTTTATTCTAATGAAGTGTGGGATATTTAAATCCCCACTTCATTAGCAATTTTGGTATGTCTAATTTACATCCCTCTGGCGACAGAGGGATGTAGTCTAGACATACCCAAAGGCAAAGCTCTTGCCATATTAATGTCCTTCATGGATGACTCAATCCAGATTTTTATATTGCGGGGGTGGCCAAACTGTGGCTCACAAGCCACATGCAACCCACAGCTAAAGCATGGCGCATGTAACCCCCTACACTAGAGCACCCCTCCCCCCACCAATTCTCCACCTACAGACTTTGTGGGGGAATTCAGGTCTTCTGCCAGAGACAACTAGAATCTGCTGAGAGAGAGGAGGCCCAAATTAAAGGTTTTTCCCAAAAAAAACTTTAGTCACACCCTTACTCTTACCCTCTATGGGTCTTCCTGCAACTCCCAGAGATTTGCTGTAGCCTCTCACCATGGTCTCAGCTCAGAATTTGCCAGATGCAGCTGCTTCCATATAGGGAGGGGGCCCAGTGGTACCATGTGATGGAAAGTGGCTAGCAAATTCTGGCAAAAATCTGGGGGAGCTTATGAACCCATAAGCTCCCTGCATGGTCTCTGGCTCTGCCCATCAGGAAGGGGTGGTCTCAGGGAACGCCAGCCAGGGTTCAGGGCTACAGCAAGAGTGGTGTTGAAACTCCAAGAACCCTAGCTTCCCATAGGGCTGAAGCCCTGAGCCCCTCCATGCACCTCCTGTTGGGCTGAAGACCTGAGACCCTCTCTCTATAACCTCACTACTCTGCTGTAGGGTTCATGCTCCAAGCCCTGAGATGCATGCCTTGGCTCTTGAACTTTTGAAGACTGTTGTATGTGGCACAGAGGCTCAGTAAGTTTGGATACCTCTGTTATACTGGCACACATTTTTGAAGTATCTGAACTTGAAACTAGATGCACTAGCAGTTCCACCCCACTCACCATATTTCCCTATCCTGCATAGCTTTACTTGTATGGTCTACTCACACACTACTCTATCTCCTGCACAAGCTGCTGCCAGTCCAAATGGCCCGTATATCACATGCACTCCAGGATCCCCATCGCATTCCTCTACTCCCAGCACAGCTATTTCCCCCATCTCTCCAGTGCTTGGATCACTCATAATATTCTTTTGGCTACCAGTGTGGTATACTCCTAGGTATGAAACACACAAGCTGCTTTAGTAAACTATCAGACCTTACAATAGTAAAAGAGACAAGCTGAAGAAGAGCTCTGTGTAGCTCACAAGCTTGTTTCTGTCACTAGTGGCTGTTCCAGTAAAAGATATTAGCTCACCCACCTAGTCTCTGTAATAACTACAGAGTACTCTGTAGCTACAATTACTCTGCATACAGACTTTATAATCTCCATAAATATCATACATTCTGGTCTCATGCTCATCTGAAGAAGTGGGTTTTGCCCAGGAAAGTTCATGATGCTATCTATATTACTATATTATTAGTCTCTGAGATGCCACGGTGCTACTCTTTGTTTTTTAAAGTTATAGACTAACACAGCTACCCCTCTGATACCTTATTGGATGACTCACAAACCCACATCACTGTTTGACCTGCCCCACACTCAATAATTCTTCCTGCAAGGCTCATTAACTATTCCAACTTATCATGACTCAAACTGACCTTCTTATTTGACTTCTTAAACCCTCTCCACTTACTTGATTACCATGGATAACATCAGCATCTTCCCAGTTACCCTGACTTGCAACCTGGAGGCTTTCTTCAACTCCTTCCTCTCATTTTCAGGCTGTATCCAAATACGTCTGTTTCTTCTTCCTTCCTCAATGTAACAAAAATTTGACCCTTCATCTCCAATGACATGGTCCAAAGAGCCACTTGTTTATGCCCTGATGTTTCTCTCTCTTTGCTGCTAGTTTTTCCACTCTGATGTCTAGGATATCTAAATTGCCCACTCGAGTCCATTCAAAATAAGACAGGTACAATTATCTTTCATCACCATCAACTAGACTACATGCCACCTCTTTTTGTAACCCTCTTTTGGTCCCCCCTTGCCTAGCACATCAATTTTAAGCTTTTCATACTTCTCTCATGTTCTTGCACAAGTCAGCTGCACCTTACCTATCAGAACTTGTATCTTATTGTGCCACAAGGAAAAATTGTAGAACAATTATGAATAACAACTCTAAATGAAGCCTACCTACGGATTTCCTGGTGTGCCCTGTATTCTATGCATTTTGCTTTTAGATCATAAAATCTTCAGGTCTAACATGGTGCACTCAAATAATCTGTTTATGTTGCAGAAAAATAACTATGGCTGGCTCATGTTAGCTCACTCCAGCTTTTGGGGCTCAAGCTGGAGAGCCATAAAACTTCAATGTAAAGATTTAGGCTGAGGCTGGAGTTCAGGCTCTGAGACCCTCACTACTCATGGGTTGCCAGAACCTGTACTCCAACCCAAGTTCGCTGCTACACTGCAATTTCATAGCCTCACAGCCCAAGCTTCACATGAGCCTAAGTCAGCTAACAGAGGTTGGTTTTTACAGCAGTGTAGACACACCCAAAAGCTGCTCCCCTGGGCCAGGACAGTCTATCTGTATGCATGTGTGCTACACAAATAATAACTAATAAGTGGTGGACTCAAAGATACCTGGAGAAACAAGCAGACTGTGTAACTCACATCTGCAAGCTGTTCTTCAAACCAGCTGTTCATATAGAGGATATTACAAACTAGCCATGGTCTCAGAAAAGACCATCACCTCAGTAAAGCAGTGAGCAGAGCTCTCCCAACTCCAGTGCAACAAGAATCAGAAGGGGAGCAGTGTTAGTCTGAATCTGAAAAAACAACGAGAAGTCCTGTGGCACCTTAAAGACTAACAGATTTATTGGAGCAAAAGCTTTTGTGGGAAAAGACCCACTTCATCAGATGCGTTCCACTACATGCATCTGACGAAGTGGGTCTTTGCCCACAAAAGCTTATGCTCCAATAAATTTGTTAGTCTATAACAAATAACTTATTGTTAATGCAACAAGAAAGACCCACAAATTCTGATTAGTCAATGCAGACTAATGGACTTTGTCAAATTCTAAAACATGCTAAAGGACTTCACCACTCCATTAATAGGTCATGAAATTGAGGATCTGAAGAATCATTACCCTCATACTCAAACCTTGACTATCACCATGGTTATATCTACACTGCACATTTATTTTGGAATAAGCTATTCTGGAAGAGATTTTCCAGAATAACTTATTTCGAAATAGGGCATCTACACACAAAAATGCACATAGAAATAACACTTAGCTATTTCGAAATAGAGCATCCACAGTGACTGGACACTGAATCGCATTTAAGGCAACCTAGAACCAGTTAAGGTAGGGCATAAGGTCAGTAGTTACCTCGTGTGGCTGCTGCTTGAGGCTTAAAGGGACCCCCAAGACAGCCATTTCTCAGGTTTTTCTGCTTGCTTGCCTACCTCTCTGAGGGATAGCAATGCATTTCCACTCTATGCTCTGGTTGCCCTGCTTCTGGACACCATAGCACTCTCTGCTATGGAGCCGGAGCTGCCTCCAGGCAGTCTTCAGCTATTGCAGCTAGTGCTGCAAGTCACACAGCAGTTTCAGCATGATGCCTCCAATGCTCTGCAGGAACCCAAACCCAGCTCTTCTGGAAAACCCTCCTTGGATATCTGTGGGCATGGCTCATGCAGCTGGATCCCACCTGTCCTCCCCTGGACACCGTGCCCCACCGCCTCTGGAGTCTGGACACCAGTGCAGACTGGTGGGACCGGATTGTCATGGAGCAGCAAAGGCTCCAGAACTTCAGAATGAGGAAGGACACTTTCACGGAGCTCTGAGAGTGGCTCAGAGAAAGGGGGGCTGAGGGTGGTGCAAGTCCTTTTCCTGGGAAGCTTTT